AGGTCACATAAGTACGTTAAACAAACGGGAGACCGGTAAAGAGCGAGGGGGGGGGGGGGGGTGGCATGAGTTGACACCCTGACAGATGGAGAGGCAGTCGCACGGGATTATGTTACAGTGGGGGGGGGGGGGTGGCATGAGTTGACACCCTGACAGATGGAGAGGCAGTCGCACGGGATTATGTTACCTTTCTCCGAGTAGAAAAAGATAAATAAATATATATATATATATATATATATATATATATATATATATATATATGTAATAGATATATGTGTGGAGAATGGATATATATAAATGTGTGCACGCGCGCGCGTGTGCATATGTGTTCGTGTGTGTGCGCGTGTGTGAGTGCATACAAAGAAAAAAGCTTGCACATGTACGATATACTGTAATTCATAAACAATGAAATCTACTTTCACTGACCACTTAGAAATGCATACGAATGAGAAGGCCTTTAACTGTGCGTCATGCAAAAAAAAAAAAAAGTTTTCTCAAATGAAAATAGTTATACATTCGAGAAAAACATATGAGAAGATGCACTCATAGCAATCTCGTCTCAAATCCCTCGCCGCCACTGGATGGTAACCCCCGCTATTCCTTGCACACAGGATAATTTAGAAACAAAATGAAACAGACAGTATGTCACGCCAAGAATATCCTTTGTAACAAATGGAATCCAACTAAATTATTTATTATTATTATTATCATTATTATTATTATTATTGTTATTATTATCATTATCATTATCATGGAATCAAGAATATCCATTATAACAAATGGAATCCAACTAAATTATTTATTATCATTATTATCATTATTATTATTATTATTATTCAAAAAAAGAGGTAAATAGATAGCGTTCGGAAGAGGTCGTGCAGATGTGTTTCGTTTGTGAAATATGTGATAAGAAATTCCCTTCTATTCGTTGCCTATTGATTCACATGAGATTACATGTAAATGAGAAGCTTTTTTAAAACGTGAGGTATGTAGTCATTTACGAAGGACTCTGATCTGCAGAACTACATGGATATACATACAAAAGAAAAAATCTTGCATGTGTGATATATGTGGTAAAAGGTTATCTAGAAGTCATCTAGGATACATCAGAGCATTACATATAAAGGAATGGTCTTACAACTGCGAGGCATATAATAAGAGTTATGTTTAAAAGTCGTCCCTTAGAACACATGCGGAAACACTTGCAAAAGTGGTACACTGGCTACGATTTTTTTTAGGTTATGTTTTGTAGCTTCCCAACAATAACTAGCAATAATTAAGTTCTTTCCTATCTTCTACTTGGTATAACTGTTTTAACTGAAGAGAATGGGTCCTACATGTGACTGGAATGTAGGGCAATCAACCAAGTTGTCTTGATTCCTTTAAAAGAGTAATAATGTTGCATTGAGGTTACTACTTCTTGGTTCCCGACAGTGAATCTTAACTCTGTCTAAAAAGGTCACTCGTAAGTGACGGTGTACATATCAAAACAAAAACATAGTATCAACACGGAAGAGTGTTTTACCATTCAACAGAGACTTTGTGTATGGTGTTTGTGAATCTGCTGAGATTGCTCATCAATGAACAGCGTGTTGTTGAGTGTGGAAAGATATGCATGTGATGAACAGAATGACAAAATATATAAAGGCAGTAACAACAATGATATCCAAAGAGAATATACATAGCTAAAACATTCAGATTTTTTCAAACTATGCATCGTTAAGGTGTTAGTATAAACAATGTAAGATAACTGTGATAAATAGAATAGGTATAAAGTTACTTTAAAATGTGCATTACCTCACGCGTATCTAAAATAAATCTAATATCTGGAGTAAATTTTTAAGTCGAAGAATTTGTTCTGGTAGTTGTGCTAGTTGTGAATTCAGCCCCGAAACAAATTGTTCAGTCATCCAGATATGTATTCGTTAAATATAATAATAATAATAATAACAATGATAAATAGTTAGAAATCCTACCAGCAATCACCAGTAACTGTTCAACTTATCGTACCGCACAGTGGCTTCGCTATCGCCTCTGCTCATTGTCCAATTTGCCTTTTCTATGTTTACTCTCTTTTTTCTGTTATGCAGTTTTATCACAATTTTCCATAATTTCCCCTTCCTAGTTAGCTTTTTTCTTCATTTGTTTAACCCGGGATTTTTATTTATTTTTTTTTACAGCAGAGGCACAGTAGTTTTATTAGACATCTCTCTCAATTTTATTTACTAGAGAGAGAGTTTAGGAAAAAGAGAAAGAACATATATGGGCCAAAACAAAACTTTATTTGCTTTAATTAGAACCTAGACACTGATTGTTTTCTAATAAGATAAATGGCGGGAAAGCATCGTACGTCTGGCAGTTGTCACCACTTCACGCGCATTGAGATCAAAGGAAAAAAGCGATATTAAGGTCTCTACTTTGTCAGAGTGAACGCATATATATATGCTGTGGGAGAAAGTTTACACTAATTAATAATCTGATAAACGAATTTACGGTAAACTGGTCTGAGACCCCTGTGCAAGAGCATTTTTTTTTTACTTTAATTTATCAGTATTACCAATATACCTTTGGTTCCTTATATCCATTATTATCCCCGCCATCGTACCCAGGCGTGGGTCTATTGCCACGTGGTCTGCATACAGTATATTGTATAACTATTAGTACTAGGAAAAGGTAAATGTGCTACATACATGAGAAATATACAGTAACGGAAGTACATATTTCCTCAGACTGTATAAAATCTAATACATACTATTTGTTACTTACATTTGGTCTTTTAACCCATTGCCGCCGAGGAAAATGAACAAAAAATGGGGGAAATGCAGTACTCATTTTTTATATTTTTGTGAAATATCTCTGTCCATAGATGGCTCTGCTAGTCCTGATTTCACCTTTCCTTGAATTGGCGGGTAAAAACGTATTCTTACTAGTGCTATAAATATAAATGTTGTTTTTAACAGCAAATTAGTATAACGTTAAATATTTTCGTAAATCGATGAAAAGGGCGAGACAGGCAGTACTCGTAATTGGTTCATCATCATCATCATTGGGGAGCTAACGCCGGTAGGGGCGCATAGCCGCGTCCACCCTTCGCTTCCACTTGCGAGGGTCTCTCATGGCGAGCCGCCAGGCAGGGTCCCGGCCCATCTCTAGTTCCTCACGACAGGTTTGATCGATCTGCCCAAGCCACGACCTTCTCGGTCGTCCCACAGGCCTCCTCCACCCAGGGTTGTCTCGAACAGAGACAACCTGATGGGCAGGATCATCCTGCGGAAATCGAGTAATTGGCTCATTGGTGACTTAGTACAAGTGTAGCCATCTATGTGTAAAAGCAATCGAACAACTCGACTCACAGTGGGCATGGCATGTACGGCGGCACTGTGTTAAAACACGTTTGCTATTTGTAAGATCTTCAGATACTCATAAGGTAAGAAGTATTAATTCTGAACTTTTAATGCAGTCACCCCTCGCCCAGTTCTCCACAAGTCATTAACTGTGGGAAAAGTTGCCAGTTAGTGAATAAGGAATTGGTGCGGTTGGAACAGCCATGGTCCTTAGACACCACAACCCAAGCTTCCTGCCATCACCTCAGAGAGACCATCCCGTGGAAAGTCAGCGTTCATTGTCTTCTGTTTTGTAAAGGTAATTACCACATAGCTTTGAACTTTCTCAGGTGTATTGACCGATTTTTCTGCTCATCATAGTCTTTATATATATTACGTCATTACTGTGATTAAGTATACTTCACGGGAGTTGCGGACATTTGTTATCATGTTCCTCACTAGTAATAAAAATATCCTACTTTGCCAACGCGATCACACACGAGGAAGAGCTCTCGGAGAAAGCTCCCGCGAATATAAGTTGATATTACGAGTATCTCATTTTTGTTCTAGACCTTCATTTCATTTGTCTATAGTATTTATTGGATAGTTGAAGTCATTTATATAATTTCATTTGTACTGACACAGATATATATGAGAATGATAAAGCACTAACGCATATGTTTATATATATACATATTTGTTTGCTCCTCTGTACCGAACATTTCCTTATCGACAACGTATATGAATATTGTAGAAGGTGAATACTAACTGTCATTACACAGATACCTGCTTTTATCACGTAAAACAGCATATTTATTGATAATCGCATTGACTCGTGCGCCTGGCAGTGTGTCTTGCGTCTACTGTGTAAGTCATGTGGTTTTGGATGGTGGCCTTTCAAAATGTTCGATATGACCAGGGGAGCCGTACGCAAATTAATTAAATTATTTTAACTCCTGGCATAAGGCCCATCAGGTGGTAGCGTGGCTAGATATAAAAAAGGTAAAAACCTACCCAAAGTGATGAATGAGGGGTAATTGAGTTAAAATGAAAAACATATAGAACAATCAAAATGATGGACATGAGTAAAATAATATTTGTAAAATGTTTGTAAAAATGGTCATCCTAATTACTAAAACATTTACATGGTGTATTTAGACCTGAATAAAACAAGGAAACTGATAAATAATTAAAACTAGGCATGCCGACACTGCATTTATAAATAAAAAGTAAAAAGGTAAGCTAAACACAGTTAAGCGAGAACCAAAGAAAAGGGTACCCAAATGGGCAAACTATATAAAAAAACGAAAACAATATACGTTAACCAAGGATAAAACCCGTTAAAGATGATATAAAAGGATGGAATTCGGCAGGTGAGAGAGGGCTGTGACGGGAAGGTACATGTTGCCGGAGAGAGAGCGAGACAACGTCGCGCGGGACGCTAACCACACACGATTAACCCGGACAGAATATGCTTTGGTCGACATAATAACGGAGAATCTATAGTGCCCTGTTTTTTCCTAATGATAAATAAAATAAAGTAAGTTCATGTGAACATGAAGTGTTATCATAACGCATCCTTTTTACTATAGAGTAGTCTTCTATCCATAAAATATTTAATCAAAATCATGTAGTATGTATGAGGATGCTTGTGTGATTCCAGTGCCGCAGTTACAGGTTACATAGGAAAGGTGGTTCACTGCTGGCGTTGACAGCGTTGGGTCATTTGAATGCTGAAAGGAATTGGCGAAGCAGTGCAAGCGTGACAGGGCCTGTTCATAATCCTGTAACTTCTCTCAGCGTTGCCAAGTACACTCAACCAGGCGAGAGAGGTAAATTGTATCGTATGATTTTATTTGAAGCAGTCCCACGCGCAGTATTGGTAAAAGTTCTTTGGCAGTGAAATCGTCTCGGTACCTACAATATCCTTATATGGTTAAAATGACCAGAGACAGAAAATTTGTGTGAGATTCTTACGTGACAGTCTCAAAATATTTTTAAGGACTTAGGTTTTGCTTTACACGATCTCAAAGTGTAGTAAACGAGGTTTCTCAATGGCGTGGTAAATGTTACGTAATGTCATAGCATTGGCGATCTGGAGCGCTTTCGTTGTATTCACCAGAATATTCTTCACTAATATGATATATTTTTTAAATATAATGATCTGAATTCGACTAGTTGAGGCAACAACCACAACGAATCACGTACTTTTTTTCTTTTTTTTCTTTTTAGAGAACTGTTAATTAGAGTAGAAGCAAATATGAAAGACAAAACCCACCAAATGACCTAGTTCAAGACACGTTATGTTTATTCACAAACAGGACACTCAGTAGGAATGATAGTACAGACTTAGAATATCAGCGTCGAAATTGTGGTACTTATCACAAACAGAACTTGAAGCACAGTGGGCATGGCACGTGTTTTTACTATTCCAGCAGAGTAAAGAATGACTGATTCTTGCATTTGTATTCCCCTTTGTGTGTCAGTTTGTATCATTTCAATTACCAAGAGTTGGACTATTTTTGTTCCTTTTTATTCCTCCAAGTTCTCTCAAAATTGCTTAACAACTACCACCAAAAGACACATTTTATATTTTATTGATAATGTTATTAATAGAGATATAAACAAATGTTTAGGCTAAGTATTATGTATCTATGTTATATCCTGTATTATGATATTGACAATTAACGTAATGGTGAAACCTCTCATGTGTGCCTCTTGAAGCCATATGAAACAATATTGGTCAATGAAGCAAACTGGATTATGCATAATTGAATTTTTTCTCTGTATTAAGTATTAAAGTTGCTAATGCATGTTTCGTTCTGTGTAGATTGATCAATTTATAAACATATTCAGTGGTTAAATTGCATTATCATAAAATGTTAAATACAATACGATACTGCAAGCATCATTAGTTTTAGTATATTCTTTGATTCCAGTAGATTCTTCAAGAGTCCACAAAACCTAGATACAAAGTTTCCATCTGAGGAGTGCTTCTAAACTTGGTAAGTAGCAAAATTCATTTTTTGTAAATATATTTTTTAACTGTTGTGGAAATGTTTCTATTAATATTAACATTTCTGAGGAAAAATCTGGCAGAAATGTTTAAAGGCATCAGAGTACCTGCGAAACAAATAAAGCTGATGGTCATTATTATTGCCTGATAGAATGAATGGTAGTGAGTGATGGGAAATGAACAAGAGGAGCAGTGGCACTTCACCAGCATCTGGCACCTAAGAGTATACAGCTTCATATTCTTTATCTGTAACATGCACACAACAACACTAACACATACTAACACACTAATATATGCTTCCCACTCCAGGTGGTGTATCCACACGATTTAATACCTATACTGAATTTTTTGCATTGCTATACAAGAAATATGAAAGACAGCCACAAAGTGACCAAGAACATGTTTATTAACAAACATAATGTACTCAATAGTACTGATAGCACAGATTTGAATAACAGTATTGAATTTGTGGTATTTATCACAAATAGGACTGCTACTGGCTTCTGGCAATCCATTCAAGGGATTTAAACAAATTGAATCAATCCTGAAGCTTTGTGTTTCATGTAATATCAGATAAAACTAATAGTTTACAGTAATAACAGTGTATTTTATGTAATAACACAAAATCATAAAAGTCAATTCCATACACTTATTAAATGACACACATTGTACTGTATGACATTAAATGCACATAATGCTAAAAGTAGCTGTAAAAAATATCTCAGTAAAACTTTGGTAATCCTGCTCAGTGAATAAATTAATATTTAATATACATACTAAATAACATACACATTAAGTAATGAAAAGCAGTTAATACAAATGTAAAAATCTTCATTTCAGTACTAATGAATCAGTAAAGGTTATGTGTACAGTAGATTACATTATGTTAAGGTACATGTGACATTATACATACTTTCAATAAGTGGCCATGTAAGTGGTCTACCTGGGAAAGAGTGATATAGATAATCTTTTACTACTAAACTTCTATATGCGTGAGCTCTAATTTGCATCCGCCATTGTTGACAGTGTGTTTGTGAGGTGACATCATCCAAAAATAATAGTAGTGAGTCTTGTACAAACTCCAAATATGTGTCAGACAACCGTGTAAAATGTGTTGCCAAGTATTCAACACCAAATATTAATTGAAAACCTGTCCTGATATCCTCGGTTCCAGGTAACATGGGATTTTTTCCAACCTAGATGTGCAAGTTGTGAGTGGTGAACATATCATTGATGGTGAAACAACAATTACTTGTAAATAATACATAACCTGGAATATACTTGCTGCATGCTACTTTATGCATGAGCTGTTGACAGAATTTAAGTCTCCTTGAATAATCATTAGGATTCAAAGCCTTAAACTACTGGAAATGAAAAGGGTACATAAGCTGTTCCTTTAGCATTCTCTGTACTGTTAGTTGAGCTAACCCTAAATCAACGGCAATGGCTTTGGTACAGGTGCATAGATTCTGTGCAACCACATCCAGAACATTTACTTCATTATATGGTGTGTAAGATTGCTTCATGGTCAATTCAATCTGTTTAAATCTTATAAATATGATTGTTAAATGGTCACACACTTGACCAACTTGAGGCATGGGGTTGATGTGGATGGGGCAAGAGGTTCATTTGAAATGTTCAGTTGTATAAGCTATTATATGTAAGAAAAATATGAGGTAATGTATTCACTATCATGTCAGCATTTCACCCTGTAATTTTGTGTATATAATTCTGTATCACCCTGTATATGTATGTATGTATATATATATATATATATATATATATATATATATATATATATATATATATATATATATATGCATATATATGTATATATACATATATGCATATATAAATTTATATATATATATATATATATATATATATATATATATATATATATATATATATATATATATATATATATGCATATATATGTATATATACATATATGCATATATAAATTTATATATATGTATATATACATATATGCATATATAAATATATATATATATATGCATATATATGTATATATACATATCTGCATATATAAATTTATATATATGCATATGTATGTATATGTATTATATATTTTTTTATGTAAAAGTATGAATAGACAGACTAATACAGTTGTGAAGAATGTCATGTTTATTAAACGTTTCGAAGGTATAACTAAACCTCCATCATCAGTACTGTCATAAAGAACCAATGGAAAAGTCAGACAATAGTAATTACATATGTTATGTTGGTAACTTATTTTCACACACCTGATCACAAGCTGTCATTTTGAAAATATATAGAGCTAACTAAGCATTTTCAAACACTCACTCCTGCAGAACATGACATTCCACCTAATTTAAATCAAATGAATATCAGTTAAGCCAGTGCCATAGCAGGATAATAGAATCAGGTGACTTCCAGATTGAAATTGTTGTTGGCAGTTACAATTTTCTAAGTAAAATATTTATTTACAAAGTTATTCCTGAATCACAATACATCAAGCAGAAATTCACGACATCTTGTGAGTTCTAATAAAAAATATACAAATCAATATACTGATATATATGTGTAAGTATATATATGTATATATGATGTATATATACATATATATATATGATATATATACATATATATATACATATATATATACATATATGAATATATATATATACATATATAAATATATATACATATATAAATATATATACATATATAAATATATATACATATATAAATATATATACATATATAAATATATATACATATATAAATATATATACATATATAATATATATACATATATAAATATATATACATATATAAATATATATACATATATAAATATATATATATATATATATATATATATATATATATATATATATATATATATATATGTATATATATACATATATAAATATATATACATATATAAATATATATATATATATATATATATATATATATATATATATATATATATATATATATACATATATATACATGCATAAATAGATATACATGTAAATACATATACACAAATATAAATATATATATATTGATATTTATACATATATATATATATTCATGTATATATATATAAACATATATATACATATATGCATATATATGTATATATACATATCTGCATATATAAATTTATATATATGCATATATAAATTTATATATATGCATATATATGTATATATGATGTATATATACATATCTGCATATATAAATTTATATATATATTGTATGGAAACATAGCATGGTGTGCCATTTATAGTGAAGGATTCTCATTTTGGACAGCAGTTAGCAGTGAGATGGCCTGATGACTTTTCTGTGAAGTTTAATGTTACAACAGATAAAAGTAATTCAGTAATCAAGCTGCATATTTGATTGTTTAGGAAAGAAAAAATAAGTAAAATAGAGCCTTCAATTTTGAAAAAGCAAAGTTATGTTGGTAATTTATTTTCACACACCCTTTTGCACGAAAGTGTTGTTTTGGAAATATGTATAGCTAACAATGCATTTTCAAAGAATAGGACCCCTGCAGAATTTACATTCCACCAAAATTAAATCTAATGAAGAATATCAGTTAAGCCAATGCCATAGCATGATAACAGAATCAGGTGACTTCCACACTGAAATTGCTGGCATTACAATTTTCTAAGTAAAATATTTATTTACAAAGTTATTCCTGAATCACAATACATCAAGCAGAAATTCATGACATCTTGTGAGTTCTAATAAAAAATATACATATATATACATATATCTACATATATATATATATATGCATATATATGTATATATATATAAATATATTTATATACATTGCATGATATGCTCTTTGCCTGATTCCACAAAACCTAGATACAAAGTTTCCATCTGAGGAGTGCTTCTAAACTTGGTAAGTAGCAAAATTCATTTTTTGTAAATATATTTTTTAACTGTTGTGGAAATGTTTCTATTAATATTAACATTTCTGAGGAAAAATCTGGCAGAAATGTTTAAAGGCATCAGAGTACCTGCCGAAACAAAAAAAAAAAAATATATATATATATATATATATATATATATACATACATATATACATATATACATATATATACACATATATATGTATATATGTATTTATATATATATATACATTTATACATACATATATACATATACATATATATACATATATGTACATATATATACATATAAGTACATGTATATGTACATATATATATATATATATATATATATATATGTACTTATATGTATATATATGTATATATATGTATATATATACATGTGTATATATGTATGTATAAATGTATATTTATATAAATACATATATACATATATGTATAAATACATATATATATATATATATATATATATACATATATATGTATATATGTATTTATATATATATACATTTATACATACATATATACACATCTATATTTATACATATATATACATATATATACATATATATACATATATATACATATAAGTACATATATATATATATATATATATACTATATGTATATATATGTATATATATGTATATATATGTATATATATACATTTGTATATATGTATGTATAAATGTATATATATATAAATACATATATACATATATATGTATATATATATATATATATATATATATATATATATATATATATATATACACACATATATATACCTCCAGATTATTTTCCTCATTATCTGGTGCATGAGATTGATGTGGTCATCTTGCATCATTCATGTATGGAGCAAAACATACATTTAATGTCATACTGTGCAATGTGTGTCATCTCATAAATGTTTGGAAATTGGCTTTCATGATTTTGTGTCACTAAATTCAATACACTGATATTGCTGTCAATTATTGTCTTATCTGATAATATACATGAAAAACAAAGCTTCAGGGTCAGAAGGGGTTGGTGTGGTTGGGGTAAGGGGTTTGAAATGTTTGATTGTACTGTGTGAGCTATTTAATGTTAGCAATTAATACTTTATTTTTTATGGGAAAAAACTAATTTGGTAATGTATTCACTATCATGTCAGTATTCCACCCAGCTATTTTGTTTAATTCTGTATCACCCTGTATATGCATATGTATGTCATGTTTATTTATTATAGTATATATGTAATAGAATGTATATAGTTTTATATATATGCATTTTCTATGGATGAGTCTCTGTGTTGTTTCTAATTGTTTGTAATTGATATATCCATTAGTATGTATGGAGATGTATATATTATAAATAAAAATATACATATATATAATATATATTTATATATATAATATACATATATGTGATACATTTACATATATATACATGTATATATTTATATATATATGTGCACTACAACTGGTGTAATAAGCATATAAAAAAAAAATATTTGCATATATGCCCATATACAAGAAAATATATTTATATACATTGCATGATATGCTCTTTGCCTGATTCCACAAAACCTAGATATGAAGTTTTCATCTAAAGTAGTTCCAATCTTGTTAGTATTTGTAAGTTGAAAGTTTAATATTTTTTATAAATATGTTTAACTAAAGCTGAAATGTTTTCCCTAGTATTACTTAACCCATTGCCGACAGGCATGCCATGCCATGCCCACTGTCAGTTTACTTATTTGATTGTTTTAACACATAGATGGCTACACTTGTACTAAACCACCAATGAGCCAATTACGAGTACTGTCTGTCTTGCCCGTTCACCCTTTTCTCTAATTTTCAAAAATATTTTACGTTATCTTATTTTGCTATTACGAATGTTTATAACATTATAGTACTTATAATGTCTATAATAAAAATAACAGCAGTGAAAGGAAAGGTGAAATCAGGTAAGGCAGAGCCATCTATGTGTAGACATTTCACAAAAAAATATAAAAATGGAGCACAGCATTTTCCCCATTTATTATGGGGTAATGGCTTAATCTATAAGGGATTGGACACATCTTGATTTGATGTACATATTTGAGGGAAAATGCAAAAATACATAAAGGATCAGAGCAGCTGCAAAAAGAATAAAGTTGATGATCATTGTGAATGGTGCCTGGAATGAATGGTAGTGAGAATGGTAGAGAGATGACCAAGTGGAGCAGTGGCACTTCACTGGCACACAGCAGCTGGGCACAAAGATCACCCAATTTCACTATCTTTCTTATCTGTTACATGCATGCACTAACACTTACACATACTAACACACAAATATACTTTTCACTCCAGGTGGTATATCCACATGACATAACACTCATACTGGATGTTCCATTGTTAAGAAGTCAAAGGCCATGTGAAAAATATTGAAACTGGATAAAGCTCGAGTGAGGAATTTTTCAATGTGGGCTGCTGAATTCTTATAGTCAGGGTAGTAATAAAATGCAACACTTGCAAGATACAGTTGCCTAAATACTGGCCCAAAAGGACTGACCACTCAAGGGGAAGCAACAAGGAGAGTCCCAAACTAGAATAATAACTTTTCCAGGGTGCAGAACAAAAAAGAAATATATATATATTGTATGGAAACATAGCATGGTGTGCCATTTATAGTGAAGGATTCTCATTTTGGACAGCAGTTAGCAGTGAGATGGCCTGATGACTTTTCTGTGAAGTTTAATGTTTACAACAGATAAAAGTAATTCAGTAATCAAGCTGCATATTTGATTGTTTAGGAAAGAAAAAATAAGTAAAATAGAGCCTTCAATTTTGAAAAAGCAAAGTTATGTTGGTAATTTATTTTCACACACCCTTTTGCACGAAAGTGTTGTTTTGGAAATATGTATAGCTAACAATGCATTTTCAAAGAATAGGACCCCTGCAGAATTTACATTCCACCAAAATTAAATCTAATGAAGAATATCAGTTAAGCCAATGCCATAGCATGATAACAGAATCAGGTGACTTCCACACTGAAATTGCTGGCATTACAATTTTCTAAGTATAATATTAATTAACAAAGTTGAATCACAGTACATCAAGCAGAAATTCATGACATCTTGTGAGTTCTAACAAAAACTATACAAATCAATATACTGATATATATGTGTAAGTATATATATATGTATATATGATATATACATATATAAACATATACATATATATACATATATAAATATATATATATATTTATTTATATATATGTATATATATACATATAAATATGTATATATATATAAATATATATACATATATGCATATATATACCTATATACATACATGTGTAAATAGATATACATGTAAATATATATACATATATATATGTATACATATATGAGTATATAGGCATACATATATATATTTTCAAATATATCAGTATATTTATATGTATATGTTTGATAAGATATACAGATATGAGTTTATACATGAATGTATATATACATACATATATATGATTCTGTGCAACCACCTCCAGATCATTTTCCTCATTATCTGGTGTGTGAGACTGATGTGGTTGTCCTGCATCATTCATGTATGGAGGAAAACATACCTTTAATGTCATACTGTGCAATGTGTGTCATCTCATAAATGTTTGGAAATTGGCTTTCATGATTTTGTGTCACTAAATTCAATACACAGATATGTTCACTGGATGAGTCTTTGTGTTTTGTAATTTAACTTATAATATATAACCCTATGTAATATTTTTTTTGATAATCATGATTTTATTATATAAGTAATTCTGTCAGTATTACTATTATATTCACTATTATTCTATTATTATTCTTATTAGTTACCATTACTATTATTACATTACAGGAAGAAAATGAATTTCCTCTCTGAGTGGATGCCTTTGGCCCCACCTAGTGATGATGAAATAGATAATCAAGGAATTCTTATCAAGGAAATGGTTAAGGAAGAGATCAAGAAAGAGAATGATCTGGAAATTCAGGAAGAGAATGATCTGGAAATTCAGGATGAGAATGATCTGGAAATTCAGGAAGAGAACGATCTGGAAATCAAAGAAGAGAACGATCTGGAAATCAAAGAAGAGAACAATCTAGAAATTAAAGAAGAAAGTTTTGACTATGAAGTGAGTGATACAAACCTAAAACACAAGTATCCTTCCTCTATGGGAAGTAAGAGCATCAGAGAAGAAAATGGAAGGAACTCATATAAAATTATAGAAGACTGTAATGATGCATTGGGGACAACACCACTTGTGGCTGATCATTGTGATACCATGCACACATCAGACAGGCACAAGGAAGGAGAGGAAGAGGCAGCATACCAAAAGCCATGTTCTCAAAGAGTTAAAATAGTGAAACAAAATAAAGTGGATAGAAATAAACGTCACACGTGTGAGATATGTTGTAAAGCATATGCATCAAAATACCGTTTACATAACCACATAAGAGATATACATACAAAAGAAAAACCATATAAGTGTGAGGCTTGCAACAAGACTTTTACAATCAACAGGAAGCTGGTGATACACCGGAAAATGGAATGTGAATACAAGTGGTCACCAGATAATAACCAGACACCTAAGGATGGCAGTAATGAAATGTCTGAAAAAGTATCTGAAATATGGAAATGCTTCACTTGTGAAGTGTGTAATAAAAAATTCCCTTTTAAAATTAGACTATTGACACATATGAGGGTTCATACAAAGGAGAAACCTTTTAAGTGTAAGGTATGTGCTACACCATTTGCTAGGAGATCTGATATAAGTAACCACATGAAGACACATACAAGGGAAAGACCACATGTATGTGATATATGCAGTAGAGGATTCTCCAGGAAATCTCATCTTGAGACACACATCAGAAGAGTACATCTAAAGGAGAGGCCTTTCAAGTGTGAGATATGTAATAAAAGCTTCTTTGAGAATTCACATCTTAGGGATCACATGTTAAGTCATACAGAAGAGGATCCCTTTAAGTGTAAGATTTGCCATAAAAGTTTCTCTCAGAAAAATGGTCTGAGGTTGCACATGCGAAGACATGGAGTTAAGTCATTTATCTGTGAGGTATGCAGCAAAGCCTTCTTCACCAAACATATATTAGCTATACATATGAGAGTACATACAGGGGAGAAGCCCTATACTTGTAAGGTATGCAATAAGTCATTTAGAGCTCTTTATACTTTCAAAAAACACAGTAGACTGCATACTAGAGAGAAACAGAGTGTGTAAAATGGGTTGTATATGTATATATATGTATATACATATTCATAGTGTATTTTTAAATATAAAGAGCTGCATAAATGTAGATAAACATATAGATATATTTATATTATATATATGTACATAAAGGTATATGTATGTATATATTATATATATGTATATATAAGTTTATGTATATATATGTATATATGTGTGTATGTTCGTATGTACATGTATCACATATATGTATATTATATATATAAATATATTTATTTAATATATATGTATATTTATTTATAATATATACATCTCCATACATACTAATGGATATATCTTTCCATGAGGTTACCCATATTTTCATATATATATATGTATATATATGTATAAATATATGTATATATATATTTATATATATATAAGTATGTATATATATGATATTTATATTATATGTGATATATATATAAATATATATATATACACATATATTTATACATATATCTACAAATATATATATATATATATGTGAAACTATAGATAGCCTTATGGAAAGATATGTCTAGTTGTATGTATGGAGATGTATATATTATAAATAAAAATATACATATATATAATATATATTTATATATATAATATACATATATGTGATACATTTACATATATATTTATATATATATATATGTACACTCCAACTAGTGTACTATTTGGTAATATGCATATAAAAAAACAAAATTATATGCATATATGCCCATAATAGAAAATATATTTATATACATTGCATGATATGCTCTTTGCCTGATTCCACAAAACCTAGATATGAAGTTTTCATCTAAAGTAGTTCTTGTTAGTATTTGTAAGTTGAAAGTTTAATATTTTTTATAAATATATTTAACTAAAGCTGAAATGTTTTCCCTAGTATTACTTAACCCATTGCCGACGGGCATGCCATGCCATGCCCACTGTCAGTTTACTTATTTGATTGTTTTAACACATAGATGGCTACACTTGTACTAAACCACCAATGAGCCAATTACGAGTACTGTCTGTCTTGCCCGTTCACCCTTTTCTCTAATTTTCAAAAATATTTTACGTTATCTTATTTTGCTATTACGAATGTTTATAACATTATAGTACTTATAATGTCTATAATAAAAATAACAGCAGTGAAAGGAAAGGTGAAATCAGGTAAGGCAGAGCCATCTATGTGTAGACATTTCACAAAAAAATATAAAAATGGAGCACAGCATTTTCCCCATTTATTATGGGGTAATGGCTTAATCTATAAGGGATTGGACACATCTTGATTTGATGTACATATTTGAGGGAAAATGCAAAAATACATAAAGGATCAGAGCAGCTGCAAAAAGAATAAAGTTGATGATCATTGTGAATGGTGCCTGGAATGAATGGGAGTGAGAATGGTAGAGAGATGACCAAGTGGAGCAGTGGCACTTCACTGGCACACAGCAGCTGGGCACAAAGATCACCCAATTTCACTATCTTATCTGTTACATGCATGCACTAACACTTACACATATTAACACAAATATATACTTTTCACTCCAGGTGGTATATCCACATGACATAACACTCATACTGGATGTTCCATTGTTAAGAAGTCAAAGGCCATGTGAAAAATATTGAAACTGGATAAAGCTTGAGTGAGGAATTTTTCAATGTGGGCTGCTGAATTCTTATAATCAGGGTAGTAATAAAATGCAACACTTGCAAGATACAGTTGCCTAAATACTGGCCCAAAAGGACTGACCACTCAAGGGGAAGCAACAAGGAGAGTCCCATACTAGAATAATAACTTTTCCAGGGTGCAGAACAAAAAATTTATATATATATTGTATGGAAACATAGCATGGTGTGCCATTTATAGTGAAGGATTCTCATTTTGGACAGCAGTTAGCAGTGAGATGGCCTGATGACTTTTCTGTGAAGTTTAATGTTTACAACAGATAAAAGTAATTCAGTAATCAAGCTGCATATTTGATTGTTTAGGAAAGAAAAAATAAGTAAAATAGAGCCTTCAATTTTGAAAAAGCAAAGTTATGTTGGTAATTTATTTTCACACACCCTTTTGCACGAAAGTGTTGTTTTGGAAATATGTATAGCTAACAATGCATTTTCAAAGAATAGGACTCCTGCAGAATTTACATTCCACCAAAATTAAATCTAATGAAGAATATCAGTTAAGCCAATGCCATAGCATGATAACAGAATCAGGTGACTTCCACACTGAAATTGCTGGCATTACAATTTTCTAAGTATAATATTAATTTACAAAGTTGAATCACAGTACATCAAGCAGAAATTCATGACATCTTGTGAGTTCTAACAAAAACTATACAAATCAATATACTGATATATATGTGTAAGTATATATATATGTATATATGATATATACATATATAAACATATACATATATATACATATATAAATATATATATATTTATTTATATATATGTATATATATACATATAAATATGTATATATATATATTAAATATATATACATATATACATATATATATACCTATATACATACATGTGTAAATAGATATACATGTAAATATATATACATATATATATGTATACATATATATATGTATACATATATGAGTATATAGGCATACATATATATATTTTCAAATATATCAGTATATGTATATGTATATGTTTGATAAAATATACAGATATGAGTTTATACATGAATGTATATATACATACATTTATATGATTCTGTGCAACCACCTCCAGATCATTTTCCTCATTATCTGGTGTATGAGACTGATGTGGTTGTCCTGCATCATTCATGTATGGAGGAAAACATACCTTTAATGTCATACTGTGCAATGTGTGTCATCTCATAAATGTTTGGAAATTGGCTTTCATGATTTTGTGTCACTAAATTCAATACACAGATATTTTCACTGGATGAGTCTTTGTGTTTTGTAATTTAACTTATAATATATAACCCTATGTAATATTTTTTTTGATAATCATGATTTTATTATATAAGTAATTCTGTCAGTATTACTATTATATTCACTATTATTCTTTATCACCAGAAAAGTTACCATTACTATTATTACATTACAGGAAGAAAATGAATTTCCTCTCTGAGTGGATGCCTTTGGCCCCACCTAGTGATGATGAAATATATAATCAAGGAATTCTTATCAAGGAAATGGTTAAGGAAGAGATCAAGAAAGAGAATGATCTGGAAATTCAGGAAGAGAATGATCTGGAAATTCAGGATGAGAATGATCTGGAAATTCAGGAAGAGAACGATCTGGAAATCAAAGAAGAGAACGATCTGGAAATCAAAGAAGAGAACAATCTAGAAATTAAAGAAGAAAGTTTTGACTATGAAGTGAGTGATACAAACCTAAAACACAAGTATCCTTCCTCTATGGGAAGTAAGAGCATCAGAGAAGAAAATGGAAGGAACTCATATAAAATTATAGAAGACTGTAATGATGCATTGGGGACAACACCACTTGTGGCTGATCATTGTGATACCATGCACACATCAGACAGGCACAAGGAAGGAGAGGAAGAGGCAGCATACCAAAAGCCATGTTCTCAAAGAGTTAAAATAGTGAAACAAAATAAAGTGGATACAAATAAACGTCACACGTGTGAGATATGTTGTAAAGCATATGCATCAAAATACCGTTTACATAACCACATAAGAGATATACATACAAAAGAAAAACCATATAAGTGTGAGGCTTGCAACAAGACTTTTACAGTCAACAGGAAGCTGGTGATACACCGGAAAATGGAATGTGAATACAAGTGGTCACCAGATAATAACCAGACACCTAAGGATGGCAGTAATGAAATGTCTGAAAAAGTATCTGAAATATGGAAATGCTTCACTTGTGAAGTGTGTAGTAAGAAATTCCCTTTTAAACTTGGACTATTGACACATATGAGGGTTCATACAAAGGAGAAACCTTTTAAGTGTAAGGTATGTGCTACACCATTTGCTAGGAGATCTGATGTAAGTAACCACATGAAGACACATACAAGGGAAAGACCTCATGTATGTGATATATGCAGTAGAGGATTCTCCAGGAAATCTCACCTTGAGACACACATCAGAAGAGTACATCTAAAGGAGAGGCCTTTCAAGTGTGAGATATGTAATAAAAGCTTCTTTGAGAATTCAGATCTTAGGGATCACATGTTAAGTCATACAGAAGAGGATCCCTTTAAGTGTAAGATTTGCCATAAAAGTTTCTCTCAGAAAAATGGTCTGAGGTTGCACATGCGAATACATGAAGGAGTTAAGTCATTTATCTGTGAGGTATGCAGCAAAGCCTTCTTGACCAAACACGCATTAGCAGTACATATGAGAGTACATACAGGGGAGAAGCCCTATACTTGTAAGGTATGCAATAAGTCATTTAGAGCTCTTTATACTTTCAAAAAACACAGTAGACTGCATGCTAGAGAGAAACAGAGTGTGTAAAACGGGTTGTATATGTATATACATATTCATATTGTATTTTTAAATATAAAGAGCTGCATAAATGTAGATAAACATATAGATATATCTGTATTATATATATGTACATAAAGGTATGTGTATGTATATATTATATATATGTATATATATAAGTATATGTATATGTATATATGTGTGTATGTTCGTATGTACATGTATCACATATATGTATAATATATATATAAATATATTTATTTAATATACATATGTATATTTTTTATTTATAATATATACATCTCTATACATACTAATGGATATATCTTTCCATGAGGTTACCCATAGTTTCATATATATATATATATGTATATATATGTATATATATGTATAAAAATATGTATATATATATATATAAGTATGTATATATATATATATTATATATCATATATATATAATAAATATATATATACACATATATTTATACATATGTATACAAATATATATATATATATGAAACTATAGATAGCCTCATGGAAAGATATGTTTAGTTGTATGTATGGAGATGTATATATTATAAATAAAAATATACATATATATATATTAGATATAATATATATTTATATATATAATATACATATATGTGATACATTTACATATATATATTTATATATATATATATGTACACTCCAGCTAGTGTACTATTTGGTAATATGCATATAAAAAAACAAAATTATATGCATATATGCCCATATACAAGAAAATATATTTATATACATTGCATGATATGCTCTTTGCCTGATTCCACAAAACCTAGATATGAAGTTTTCATCTAAAGTAGTTCTTGTTAGTATTTGTAAGTTGAAAGTTTAATATTTTTTATAAATATATATTTAACTAAAGCTGAAATGTTTTCCCTAGTATTACTTAACCCATTGCCGACGGGCATGCCATGCCATGCCCACTGTCAGTTTTCTTATTTGTTTTACACATAGATGGCTACACTTGTACTAAACCACCAATGAGCCAATTACGAGTACTGTCTGTCTTGCCCGTTCACCCTTTTCTCTAATTTTCAAAAATATTTTACGTTATCTTATTTTGCTATTACGAATGTTTATAACATTATAGTACTTATAATGCCTATAATAAAAATAACAGCAGTGAAAGGAAAGGTGAAATCAGGTAAGGCAGAGCCATCTATGTGTAGACATTTCACAAAAAAATATAAAAATGGAGCACAGCATTTTCCCCATTTATTATGGGGTAATGGCTTAATCTATAAGGGATTGGACACATCTTGATTTGATGTACATATTTGAGGGAAAATGCAAAAATACATAAAGGATCAGAGCAGCTGCAAAAAGAATAAAGTTGATGAATATTGTGAATGGTACCTGGAATAAATGGTAGTGAGAATGGTAGAGAGATGACTAAGTGGAGCAGTGGCGCTTCACTGGCACACAGCAACTAGGCGCAAAGATCACCCAGTTTCACTATCTTTCTTATCTGTTACATGCATGCACTAACACTTACACATATTAACACACAAATATATACTTTTCACTCCAGGTGGTATATCCACATGACGTAACACTCATACTGGATGTTCCATTGTTAAGAAGTCAGAGGCCATGTGAAAAATATTGAAACTGGATAAAGCTTGAGTGAGGAATTTTTCAATGTGGGCTGCTGAATTCTTATAGTCAGGGTAGTAATAAAATGCAACACTTGCAAGATACAGTTGCCTAAATACTGGCCCAAAAGGACTGACCACTCAAGGGGAAGCAACAAGGAGAGTCCCAAACTAGAATAATAACTTTTCCAGAACAAAAAAGAAATATATAGTATGGAAACATAGCATGGTGTGCCATCTGTAGTGAAGGATTCTCATTTTAGACAGCAGGTAGCAGTGAGATGGCCTGATGACTTTTCTGTGAAGTTTAATGTTTACAACAGATAAAAGTAATTCAGTAATCAAGCTGCATATTTGATTGTTTAGGAAAGAAAAAATAAGTAAAATAGAGCCTTCAATTTTGAAAAAGCAAAGTTATGTTGGTAATTTATTTTCACACACCCTTTTGCACGAAAGTGTTGTTTTGGAAATATGTATAGCTAACAATGCATTTTCAAAGAATAGGACTCCTGCAGAATTTACATTCCACCAAAATTAAATCTAATGAAGAATATCAATTAAGCCAATGCCATAGCATGATAACAGAATCAGGTGACTTCCACACTGAAATTGCTGGCAGTTACCATTTTCTAAGTATAATATTAATTTACAAAGTTGAATCACAGTACATCAAGCAGAAATTGTGAGTTCTAACAAAAACTATACAAATCAATATACTGATATATATGTGTAAGTATATATAAATGTATATATGATATATACATATAGAAATATATATACATATATACATATATAAATATATATATATAAATATATATATATTTATATAAATATATATATATATTTATATATGTATATATATACATATATAAATATATATATATAAATATATATACATGTAAATATATATACATACATATATAAATATATATACATATATATGTATACATGTGAGTATATAGGCATACATATATATATTTTCAAATATATCAGTATATGAATATGTTTGATAAAATATACAGATATGAGTTTATACATGAATGTATATATGCACACACATATATACATACATATATATGATTCTGTGCAACCACCTCCAGATCATTTTCCTCATTATCTAGTGTGTGAGACTGATGTGGTTGTCCTGCATCATTCATGTATGGAGGAAAACATACCTTTAATGTCATACTGTGCAATGTGTCATCTCATGTTTGGAAATTGGCTTTCATGATTTTGTGTCACTAAATTCAATACACAGATATTTTCACTGGATGAGTCCTTCTGTTTTGTAATTTAACTTATAATATATAACCCTATGTAATATTTTTTTTGATAATCATGATTTTATATAAAATCATGATCAGTTACCATTACTATTATTACATTACAGGAAGAAAATGAATTTCCTCTCTGAGTGGATGCCTTTGGCCCCACCTAGTGATGATGAAATATATAATCAAGGAATTCTTATCAAGGAAATGGTTAAGGAAGAGATCAAGAAAGAGAATGATCTGGAAATTCAGGAAGAGAATGATCTGGAAATCAAAGAAGAGAAGGATCTAGAAATTAAGGAAGAAAGTTTGGACTATGAAGTGAGTGATACAAACCTAAAACACAAGTATCCTTCCTCTATGGGAAGTAAGAGCATCAGAGAAGAAGAAAATGGAAGGAACTCATATAAAATTATGGAAAACTGTAATGGTGCATTGGTGACAACACCACTTGTGGCTGATCATTATGATACCATACAAATGTCAGGCAGGCACAAGGAAGGAAGGGAAGAGGCAACATACCAAAAGCCATGTTCTCAAAGAGTTAAAATAGTGGAACATAATGAGGTGGATACAAATAAATGTCACACGTGTGAGATATGTTGTAAAATACCGTTTACATAACCACATGAGAGATATACATACAAAAGAAAAAACATATAAGTGTGAGGCTTGCAACAAGACTTACAGTCAACAGGAAGCTGGTGATACACCGGAAAATGGAATGTGAATACAAGTGGTGACCAGATAATAACCAGACACCTAAGGATGGCAGTAAAGAGATGTCTGAAAAAGTATCTGAAATATGGAAATGCTTCACTTGTGAAGTGTGTAGTAAGAAATTCCCTTTTAAACGTGAACTATTGACACATATGAGGATTCATACAAAGGAGAAACCTTTTAAGTGTAAGGTATGTGCTACACCATTTGCTAGGAGATCTGATATAAGTAACCACATAAAGACACATACAAGGGAAAGACCTCATGTATGTGATATATGCAGTAAAGGATTCTCCAGGAAATCTCATCTTGAGGGACACATCAGAAGAGTACATCTAAAGGAGAGGCCTTTCAAGTGTGAGATATGTAATAAAAGCTTCTTTCAGAATTCACATCTTAGGGATCACATGTTACTTCATACAGAAAAGGATCCCTTTAAGTGTAAGATTTGCCATAAAAGTTTCTCTCAGAAAAATGGTCTGAGGTTGCATATGCGAAGACATGAAGGAGTTAAGTCATTTATCTGTGAGGTATGCAGCAAAGCCTTCTTGACCAAACAAGCATTAGCAGTACATATGAGAGTACATACAAGGGAGAAGCCCTATACTTGTGAGGTATGCAATAAGTCATTTAGAGCTCTTTATACTTTCAAAAAACACAGTAGACTGCATATTAGAGAGAAACAGTGTGTGTAAAACGGGTTGTATATGTATATATATGTATATACATATTCATATTGTATTTTTAAATATAAAGAGCTACATAGATGTAGATAAACATATAGATATATTTATATTATATATATGTGTACATATAAGTATATGTATGCATTTATTATATATATATATATGTATATATAAGTATATGCATATATATATTATATATATGTATAAGTGTTTATATTCGTATGTACATGTATGTATGTGTATTTGTAATATCACATATATGTATATTATATATATAAATATATATTTAATATATATTTTATGTTTATAATATATACATCTCCATGCATACTAATAGATATATCTTTCCATGAGGTTATCTATTGTATATGCTCTTTGCCTGATTCCACAAAACTTAGACATGAAGTTTCCTCTAAAGTAGTTCCAATCTTGTTAGTATTTGCATGCCGACGGGCATGCCATGCCATGCCCACTGTGAGTTTACTTATTTGATTGCTTTTACACATAGATGGCTACATTTGTACTAAACCACCAATGAGCTAGTTACAAGTACTGCCTGTCTCACCCGTTCACCCTTTTCTTTAATTTTTCAAAAATATTTTACGTTATCTTATTTTGCTAAGTTATGTTAGTAATTTATTTTCACTCACCCTGTTGCGCGAAAGTGTTGCTTTGAAAATATGTGTAGCTAACAATGCATTTTCAAACAATAGGACTCCTGCAGAATTTATATTCCACCAAAATTAAATCAAATGAAGAATATCAGTTAAGCCAGTGCCATAGCAGGATATATGAATCACATGTATATATGTATATATCTATTGATATAGAGACATGCACACATACATATACATATGTGTATATATATGTATATGTATATACATACTGTGTATTTTTATATATAAATAGCTATGTCAGTATAGATAAATATAAATATATATATGTATATATATGTATAAATAAATACATATGTATATATATATATATATATATATATATATATATATATTTATATGTATGTATGTATGAGTGTATATGTATGTGTGTGTATTTGTAATATGTATATATATATATGTATATTGAATATATAAATATAAATTATATTCATTATACATATGTATATTTAATATTTATAGTATATTTATATATACTAATATATCTATCCATAAAGCTATTTTTAGTTTCACATATATGTACACACACACACACACACACACACACACACACACACACACACACACACACACACACACACACACACACACACACACTGGCTGAGCAATATACTGTGCATTATATCGGTATTATATGCCTGCGTGGCCCCCACATGGAGGCTTGCAGTGGCCACGTGGCCCCCACGTGGAGGCTTGCAGTGGCCACGTGGCCCCACGTAGCCTACCCAAGCGGCGTGCCCACAACTGCTGGGCGGTCCTACTCGCCCCCCCAAGCCAGCGTTTCGGATACTTAAGGCCGCGTTTTGACCCGGTCAAGGCAGAGTGTGACCCGGCACGGTTAAGGGCTCTCCGGTTATCCCAAGTGACCAGCCTATAACCCAAGACTGTCATCGTTGTGTTATCCACTGTGTGCTGAACTCTTATCAATAAAGGGTTTTTAAGCCACTAAGCTTTTACTACTCCCTGTCACCAATGTTTAGAGGTCCCTTATAATGACTCTTACACACACACACACACATTATATATATTATATATATATATATATATATATATATATATATATATATATATATATGCACATTTCCAACTGGTGTACCAGTTGGAAATGTGCATAAAAAATAACATACATATATATGCATATATACAAAAATGTTTATATACATATGTATGTATACATATTCATAAAAAAATATAAACATAAATCTTTTTTTTTTTTACATATATATATATATATATATATATATATATATATATATATATATATATATAATATATATAAATATACATATGTATATATGCTACATATATTTAAACACAGTTACAACTTATTCTGGCATATTGCCACAGAAATTATTATATTTGTGCAGATTAGGTCCTAAAGGCAGCTGATTAATTGGTGTCTCACTATTATTGAACATATACCATTGGAAGAAACACTGTATCTTTTAGTGCTGATGTTAGCAACAAGAGATATACACAAATGTTATGCTAAGTTATATCCAGCGCTTTATAGTCATGTAAGGCTAAAATTTCTCATGTGTGCCACTTGAAGCCATATGAAACAACACTGGCCAATGGAGCAAACTGGTTGATGCATAATTGCATTTCTTCTCTGTATTAAGTACATAAAGTTGCTAACACATGTTTCCTTTAGTGCTGATTGATTTATTTCTAAACATCTAAAATGGTTCCATTGTTGTTATCTTAATCTTTTAAAGACAGATTTGCAAGCTACAGAAAAGGTATAATGATATGCTCTGTGACTGATCTCACAAAACCAAGATGTGAAGTTTTCATCTAAAGTAGTTCCAGTCTTGTTAGTATTTGTAATATGAAAATGTATTTTTTTTGTAAATATATATTTCACTTTAGCTAAAATATTTTCCCTAGTATTACTTAACCTATAAGCGATTGAGACATTTTGATTTGATGTATATATGGTATGATGTACATATTTCAGGAAAATCAGGCAGGAATACATAAAGGTATCTGAGAATACCTGCATTATGAATGGTGCCTGGAGTGAATGGTAGTGAGTGATGGAAGATGAACAAGAGGAGTGGCACTTCACTGGCACTCAGCAACTGGGCACAAAATATCCAGTTTCATTTTCTTTTTTATCTGTTACATGCGTGCACTATCACGCACACATACTAACACACAAATATATACTTTCCACTCTAAGTAGTGTATACACATGCTGTAACACTCATACTGGATGTTGCATTGTAAACAAGTCATATCTATATATCTGTTTATATATAAAAATACACAGTGCAGATACAGTTACAGTTACCTAAACATTTGTCCAAAAGAACTGACCACTTAAGGGGAAGCAAAAAGGAGAGACCCAGACTATAATATCAACTTTTCCAGGGTGCAGAGCAAAAAACTAATTAAATGGGATGGAAGCAGGTAGGTGTGCTACCTGTGGATGAAGGATTCTCATTTTTCAGGTAGTAGTGAGATGAATTGAAGAGATTTCTTTAAGGCTTCATGTTAACAGTAATAAAAGTAATGTGATAATGAATTAGGATACATATTTTATTTCTTAAGAAAAAATTAAGTCAAAGATACGGCTTCCAATTTTGAAAGAGTGAAGTTATATTAGTTTATTTTCACACACCTGATCACAAAAAAGTGGCATTTTGAAAATATTTTGTGCTTACTGTGCATTTTTAAAATTCTGGCACTCCTGCAGAACTACATTGCACCTAATTTTAATCATATAACTTAGAATATCAGTTCAGCCAATACCATGTTAGCTTAAAACAATCAAGTGCTTTAGCTTATCACAATCAGGTGATTTCCACATCAAAATTGTTGGCAGTTACAAATAGGAATTCATAACATGACTGACAAAAAGTTGAGTAGCCAATACTGTTTTCTGAATAAGAATAGTGAGTTTATTTCTAAAAAAAAAAAAAAAATCGGTAACAAAAACCATAATGTCCATTAATATGAATAATATTTCCTAATTTCAGAAGTTACAGTATCTATTTTAGCTGAAGAAAATGTTTACGAGCTTCAATACACACACACACACACACACACACACACACACACACACACACACACACACACACACACACACACACACACACACACACACACACACAAGCGTAAACAGTGATGCAAAAACTGGTTACAACGGCGAAATCAATGTTCTGATATTAAATTATTTAAATTATTAAATGATTTAAATTAAGTTATTAAATTATTGAATTATTAAATGATTTAAGTTATTCTGATATTAAGTTATTTATTAAATTCTGAAATTAAATCTCAACAAACTGCTCTCGCCGCTATCACCTGTAAAAATGAGAAATTGAGAACTGTGCAGTTACGAATCCCCACACACCCTCAGTTCAGTTACTCCTTTCAGTTAAAAATATGAAAAATTGTATTTGTCTCAGTTTAACTGTACAGTTTTGTTGCACTGACGAAATGAGCAACTGAGATACCCAAACACGTTCAGTTTTAACTGATAGTTATAACTGAACAGTTATAACTGTCAGTTAAAACTGCACGTGTGTGACCAGCCCAAGGCCCCAAGCACACTAGCCACTCTGTGGCACCACAAGTGGCCGCGCAAAGTGGCGGGCCAGAGCACACTAGCCACTTTTTAGAGCCACATGTTGCGACCACATGTGGCTATGTTTTGAATACCGGCCCACATGTGGTCGCCACACCGATATCACTACATCTCAGTTTCAGCATGGACTCTGAGGAAGAGGCACTGTCACTGCTTATACTTCTGCGACGTCGCCGCCGCCGCCGTCGGAGAGCGCTATGGATGCACCCAATTACTGCTTCGAAATTGACTCACGGACAGTTTTCTATGATAATGAGTGACTTAAGAGCAGATGATAAATTTTTTGACTACTTTAGGATGACCCAGGAAAGTTTCAACGAACTCTTGGCCATAATTGGCCCCCACATTCGCAAAGACAGTACACACCTAAGGGAAGAGCATTCCAGCTGAGGAGACTCTTGCCATGACATTAAGGTATGTAAATAATACAATTATTTTTAGTGAGTTTATTAAACTGTATATCAATGAAACTGTACTGCAATACAAAGCTATATTTCCTTTCCTATATCGCTAAGATTATGAATGCTTCCAATGATAATATTTGTGTTGTCACTTCAGTGTTTTGTTCACAAATTACTCATGACTGAATCATCCGACCATGGGGATACCGATTGTGTTTCAGATAGTTGTGCAGGTGATGGTGCACAGGATAGTACGGGTTGGCTTTGAGGTACTGTTGATTGTGCATGCATGATGCTATGAGCGAAATTGTGTGATGTATGACTCGCATGTGAATATGGACTTGGGATTGTTTGTTGATATGATGCAAAATACAGATGAT